GGGCCGGTTTCCAACGGCAAGGCGGCGTGGTGGAATGATGAGTGTGCTGCGGCTAAGCAGGCCATGCTGCAGTATCGGTCCGATGTGATGAAGTGGGGGTGTGCCGCCCCGGCTGTGGGGCATACGAGTTTTCAAGAGTTACGTCGTCAGTTTAATCGTGCTAAGCGTAACGCGCGACGGGATCACCGGCTGCGAGCCTTGGAGTCCTTCATAGCTACATGCAAACGGGATGCGAAGACCCTATGGCAACGTCTGAACGGTAAGCCAGCGTCCAGATGCAATGTGGAAGACGTGTCGGAGTGGACGGACTACTTCGATCGCCTTTATAATGCCTCAGCCTCCTTCGACGAGGTGCAGGAGGCCCGTGTCCGTGCCATCCTCAACTGTATCGATCTCGGTGCGGGCTCCCAAGTCGGGGCGGCGTGGCGTGATTCAGAACCGGTGCATGCTAGGCGGTCTATGGCCGACGCTATGAATGGTCCGCTCACACTTGAAGAGGTCGAGGCGGCTTTGTCGTCCCTGTCTAATGGGCGTTCCCCGGGTCTGGGTATGGTTCCGGCCGAGTGCTACAAGTATGCCAAGCGAATCCCTCGTGAAGGTGACGAGGACAGGGTGTCTGCCAACGTTATTGCCCCTGCGATTCGAGACCTTTTCCAGCACATTTGGGATACAGGGGATGTGCCTGACCAGTTTTGCGTGGCGTCCCTCAGTCCGTTATTTAAGAAAGGCGACCCCAGGGTCAAGGACAATTACAGGGGTCTAGCTGTGGGATGCGCCATTGCCAAATGCTATGCCAATGGTTCTCGACAGGCGGCTGGCGGCTTTGGGGGATAAAGATGGTGTCCGGTGCCGTTTTCAGGCTGGGTCCCGTCAAAAGCGCAGTACAGTTCATCAGTTGTCCGTTGTCCGTCATCTTAAAAGTCGTTATGAGCGGCCCGGCAGTAATCAGGCCCTGTATGCGTGTCAGGTGGATTTTGAGAAAGCCTTTGATAGAGTGCCCCGGGCGAGCCTGTGGCAGCGTCTTGAGGAGAGGGGTGTTCATGGACCCATGTTGGCGGCCCTTAAAGCCAGCTACGAACGTGTTCTTCAACGGGTCAAGGTTAACGGTCGCCTGGGGTCCATCTTTGCCTCTCTGCAGGGCGTGAAGCAGGGGTGTCCCATGAGTCCCAATTTGTTCGGGTTCTTCATTGAGGTTATTGCCGACTACCTTGAAGCGAGGGATGGTATGGACGAATGGTTTAACACACGTGCACACGAATGTCCTGTCATTAATGATCGTCGGCTGCCTCTGTTGTTCTATGCAGACGACCTTACTTTGTTCGCGACCTCGTTGGCGCGCCTCCAGTTCTCGCTTAAGCTGCTTATTGAGTTCTGTGCTGCTTTTGGTATGCGCTGCAACGTTCGGAAATGTGAGGCCCTTGTTGTGTCTGCTTCCGACGATGTCGTTAAGAGGGCGTTTGAGGGGGTGAGGCTCATGCTTCCTCTTCGTACTGATGGGTCGCTTTGGCACCCACCCATGGTTGGTAGTTTACTTGTTCCTAGTCCTATTAACTGGTGTGGTCGCGTTAGGTACTTGGGTCTCTATTGGGGCCCTACGTCCCCGTTTGCGAGTTGTGTTAACGAACTTTTGGAGGCAGGGCGACGGGCTATGTTCGGTCTTAGTAATCGGTTGGATGAGAACAGGGTGTGGGCTCCTGCCGTTCGGCTTCAAGCGTTCGACACCCAGGTTCGTTCAGTTCTCTGTTATGGTGCTGAGGTCTGGGGTCCTGATAGGATTGTCTCCGTTTTGCGGTTAGGTAAAGGTGTTTTACCCGCTGGTAAGTCATATTTTGATTTGGCTTTGGAAGATGGTATGGTTCAGGTCCAGCGTGACTTCTGTTTACGTTGTGCTGGGCTCAAGCAGGTACCTTACAAGCTGTTGTACAGGGAGTTGTCTCAGTTGCCTTTGCAGTACTTTTGGTTACGCCTTGCGTTGTGTTTCTGGAATAAGATAGTCAAGTCCCGTGGGTCGGTCTATCATGATGTGTTAGTAGATGATCTCCGTCTGGCTCTTCTGTCTGATCTCAAAGTGGATTGCTGGTCGTCTAAAGTGCTCATCATTTTGCGTTGGTTGGGTCATGAGTGGCCGGCGTGTGACTCTGTTTCTCAGAAGGTAGATGTATACTCGTCTCAGTTGATTCGAGTGGGTGAGGTTCTGGAGAGGTTATCTGCGTTCCTTTTAAGTGACTGGGATCAGTTCAGCCAAGGGGGTGATCCACGTGTGTTCCAAGGTAAAGGGGTTTCGCTTTGCAGGTATCATAACTGGATGGGCTGCAAGAGAGGGCTCCGATCCCACAGGCTACCGTAGTGCTACTTATAGTTCGTGCTACAATAATTCGGGAGGCACCGCGAATATGTAGCACGTACAAATTCTAAGGTATCCCAAGGGACCGCAGCCCCGAAATATCGTACCCTCCGAAGCCGGTCGATCAAACTTCGCAAAAACTAGGATTTCAAGGCGGAAATCAGCTCTTAAATACATAAAATATAGTCATAAACGTAGGACATGAACAACGCTGGAAAACGTGCAAGACAGGCAACCCTGCTTCAATGCGGGATGAAACCGCTAGCACCAAACGCTCCGGTGAGCGACCGAGCTGGATTTGCACCAGTTAGGCTTGATGATGCTGTTTCCGAGGCCCAGCGTGAGCGAATGGAGCACGAGGAGGTTGCTAGGCGCGAGCGCAATGCGGTCAATGCTACGGCAGCCGTTCCTGTTTGGTGCATCCAGCTGCGTCGTAATGCCTTTTACGTCGGGGTTTCAGCCGCATCAAGACACGTTTCAGTAGCAACCACCCAAACATTGTATTGGCCCGGCCGGTTGGTTATTAGGTCGTTGCCACTGGTACTGAACTGTACGATCGGTCCAGAATTTGCTAGGGCGTTTCCAAAGTGCGAAAATGGTGAGAGACCATGAGCCTAAGGGTTCCCGGTGGAGGGAGACTGACTGGAAGCTGCAGTTTGAAAAGCCCCGAAACTTTGGAAGGGGCCCCGAAATTTGTATCATGCCCGCAAAATCTGGTCCGGCCTTCCCCGAAATTCAAAGAGCACGTACAAATTTCAGAAAGTTTTTTGACCCCTCCCCGAACAAAGCGATCACGAACTATAAGTAGCACTACGGTATTTGCGTGTTTATTTGCCGGTCAACCAGTTGCGTATGGTTGCCAAATTCCGTCTTTGTTGTTGGCCTTTGGAGGTCAACAAAGGGCACCATAGGCCGAGAGAGTGCCGTACGTGTCAGGTCTGTACGTCGGGAAAGGTTGAGGATGAATATCATGTGCTTATGGAGTGTGAGGCGTATACTGAGTTGCGTAATAGGTTTCTGATTAACGTTGAAGATACTGATATGCGCAAGGTATTTCTTAATACCAATCCGAGGAAAATCGCTACTTTCCTTACTGAGGTTTTTGATGAGCGTCAACAGCGAGCCTCACGGCTCGTGAGGGCACCCGCCGCGTCGGCGGCGGAAATACTGTAACCACAATTGCTGATGGTTGTGGGTTAGAGATATTTACCCAATGGAACTTAACAGACCATAGGTATCCAGAAGAGGAAAGGTTTTTATATAACAAAGCTTATAAGATCATTGACATTTATTATTCCGGCATTTCTATTTGGGATTTGGGATGGTGAGCGAAAGCCATGGGCCACGGAAAGCTAATTTTCCAATCCGATGTATGTGTGAATCGATTTTTAATGAATGATGGGGGATTGTAGTAGCTTCTAGTACACCGGTGGGGTGGGGTGGGGTGGGAAGGGAAGGAGTGGCCATGGGGTGGGGTGGGGTGGGGAAATAGTCCGCGGGAAGCTATCTTCGCGCAGATGTATGTGAATCAATTTAAACACAGACAGTGGCGGCAATATGCCATATGTACACCAGCCATGCCGGAAAGCAAGAAGGCAGCCTGCAATGCGATGACGGCTTGCGGCTACAGCCAGCAGGCCTACTTCTCTTATAGCCGAATCTATCCGAAGCCACAGATACCAGCTCCACGCGCCATCAGCATGTATTCGTACAATAATTGCCGTGCTCATCCTCCGGAAGAGTTCGCGGCTAAAAGAATTACTACCCCGGGCCTTATATATGCCACCGTTGAGTATATAACCTAGCAGCAACAACACGTTGTCGCAGCCCACTACGAGGAAATGCGGCCCGCCTCCGTTCAGCACGTTATTGTTCATGATATGGCGTTAATTAGACTCTTCTTCTCCGCCCCCTTCTCCTGAGCTGTGCAGGAACCCTGTGGCATTCAGCCCTCAGAAAAAAAACCAACCTTGTTTGCCAGCGCCCTATTGTTTTGCGAACCTCAACACCTCAAAAATGTTTGCACGTCGACGACGCGGCGACGCCGGTAGTTGGCAAGCCCCAATAACGGGCCAGCTCGAATTGCCAATCAGCACTCGATCAAAATACCTCAACTCCCCCCTCTTACGGCCTTCCTGGAGCGCTAAAAAATTCCACAGCTTTACCGAACACGCAGGGCTACCTAACGAATCATCAGAGCCGTGCAGGGCACATCCTCAAATAGTTTCTTATTGTATTCCTTCTTTACTTTACTTTACGATCTAGAAGTACATATAACACAGTATGGCAGCAGCCCAGAGACACACGTACATGCATAACAAAAGTATACACACACATGCTCCCTCGCGACGACGTCCTTAACATCCACACTGTCGGTTTCTCGAAACTCGGTCTCCACAGGTTCAGGCCAACCCACGGGTCGGTCCCCAAACAGGTTTTGACCCTCTGAACGGGACAGCCGCGCAGCACATGAAAAATCCTCTAAAGGCCTTTTCCATCCTGTCCATGATGATGTGACAGGACAGAGAGGGCCGGACCGGGTAGCCACGATTACCCCCGCGGCCGCCGGTTGCTCGTCAAGCTCTTTTATTCAACGTGCAGCGGCTGCCACCACGACCCTACATCCACCCACGAGCACATCCCGGCTCTGTAACGCTCAGTTCCGTCCCGTGACCGCTGGCTGTCCCTCGGCGGCCTTGGCTCCGTTACCGTTGCCAGTACCGTTACCGTTGGCTGCAACCACTCTCTTGGCACCTGTTGTTGCGGGCGAAGTGCTCCGGCGCGGCGGCTCCAGCCCCCAGGGCTCCAAGGCGCGGCGCAGTGCCTCCGGCGCCGCCGCATACGAGAAGAACATTCCGTAGTTGGTGACGGGGACATCCGCCTCGGTCAGGTCCGCTAGCCGCTGAGAAACCTGCGGTGGTGTCGGAGGAGGTGCAGGAGGAGGAGGATGAGCTAGCGGGCCTTACAGACACCACCTCCCCAGTTTGCCATCACACGTTGGCCGCATCCTCCCTTTCCCCAACTACGGGCCGTGTCCCAGCCCTCCCTACCTTTTGTGAGTCGATCATGCACGCCCCGCAGTGAATGGCCAACTTGTACTGCCCCAGCTGACCGCTCTCCAGCTCGGGAAACTCTGAGGGGGAGAGAGAGGGGGGTGAGGGGGTAAAGGGAAGCAGGGGAATATGACATGACCCCTGGCAGCACACATTCAGGAACGAGGGAGCTTTCCCAAGGCGAAACACGTCATAAACGTGTCATACAACGTGTATGACACAAAGAACAGTCGTCCTGCTGCTACTGCTACTGCTACTGCTGCTCTTGCCACTCACCCCTGCCGTACGCGTGGTCGATGTTCAGTTTCTTCCCCCCCACCATCTGGTCCAGCTTCTTGGGTATCTGCACCATGCCGATGTCGTTGCACTCCTTGGTGATGCGGTTGTGGTTACACGCCTCAGAAATGAGCACCCTGTCGCCCTCCTGCAGCCCTTCAAGAGCCTCCAAGCCGCCCACCCAGGCGTCCAGGCGCCCGCCGCTCATGGCGTACGCCATGCAGATAGAGAAGGTGGTAAACGGCACCAGCGGCCGGCCAGAGACGGGGTCCAGAGTCCAGGGGTGGACCACATCCACCGCCTGGGAGTCCGTCACCACCAGCACCGGCCCGCAGCTGTTCTCACTCAGCAGCCGGATCACACCGCCGAAGCGCTGCCGCTCCGCCTCCCGCGCCTCCGGCCCCAACTTGTTCCTGGCCGCGTCCAGGTCCAGTCTCACGCACATCACGGTGGCCCAGTGCCGAATAGCCTCCTCCTGCACCATGGCCTGGGGCCGCAGCAGCCGCCCCCCTGGAGTCTCCGCGTCCATGGGGATGACCAGCAGCAGCATGGCGCCGCGGCCCAGGGCCCAGCGGGGCAGGCAGCCGGGGTGGGGCTGACCCCAGCGAGGGGAGCGCTGGGCACCGGACTGTGAGACGAGGGTTGAGGGGGGAAAGAGGGGATTGGTGTGCTGCTTGTCCTTTCCGGCCCTCCTTTGACCCAGCCTGGCGGGACCTCCCTCCCCCCCTCATCACCTTGACGAATTCCGCACATCGGGTACTTCGCTCGTGCAGTGGAGTGGCCGCCAGGTCCAGGGCCATGGCGGGAATCTGTGGGTCAGCGAGGAGCGGGACAGTGAGGGGAGGAGGTGGGGGTGAGGGAGGAGAGGGAGGGGCCAGAGGGGGCCCCCGTGATTAGGGAGAGCTTACTCAAGACACACCCCACCTGCACCCCACCTCACTCCACACAGAGAGCAGGCCCCCTCCCTCTCCCACCACCCCTCTCCTCTCACCTTCCTGTCCGGGTCCAGCGCCGCGTGTGCCTCCGCCAGCAGCTCCCCCACCCTGGAGTCGGAGGGAGTGAGGGGGGCACCGCCGCCGCTGCCGCCAACACACGGCTTCACGTTGAGAAGCAACACGGGGGATACCTGTGTGCATGTATGTATGTATGTATGTATGTACGGGTGGCACATGGACACAGAGGCGCCAGGAGTAGGAGAGGTCAGAGGTAGCAAGGTCAAGGAGCAGGACATGGTGGGCAGGAGAGGGACGCAAGCCGCGACGTGTGGCACCGCAGACTCACCCCGTACTTGGCCGCCTGCTCCATGACCTTGCGTTCCCAGCTGAGGGTGGTGCGGGGGTCGCAACCGGGCTGGGACCTGGCCCGCTCCAGGTTGTCCGTGTCCACCACCACCACCGCCACGTCGCACTCCTTGAGGCAGTTGAGGGCCTTGCGCCGCTTCTTATCGCCCAGCACACCTGACACAAGAAAAGGCAAGGAAAGGCAAGACAGCCAGACAGGAAGGAAGGAAGCGCAGGAAAGGGGAAGGCCAGCCCAACCTCAGCGCCCAACAGCCCGCCAGTAACGCCAGGGAAACCACAACGCAGGTGAGGAGCTGCTCGGGAAGTGCAAATGCGTCTCAGGAGAACACGCCAAGTTCAGTCAAGGAGACGTCAGTCAAGAACAGCACCCTTCCACGCCCCATCCCTCCCTTCCTCCCGCCATCATCTCCCCCTCTCCCCCCTCTCTGTCTCACGCACCCTCCTCGTCCAGCCCCGCCGTGTCCAGCAGCTTGGCCGGGCCCAGGTCGTGCAGCTCCAGCAACACCGTCTTGACGTCCGCGGTGGTGCCGGGGTGGGAGTCCACGATACACGCCTCTTGCTGGGCCAGCGCGTTCACAAGACTGGACTTGCCTGAAAAGGGGGGAAGAGGGGGACCGGCGCAGCAGGGTAGGTAGGTAGGGAACTATCTGAGGGTAGCAAGAGGGGTGATAGGAAGGCGGTTTCAAAGGGAAGGAGGCCGAGTAGGGAGCACGGGAGGGAGGTAAAGGATATTACGGAAGGGTCCAGGCCAGATAGAAGGAGGGGAGCTGGCAGCCACGGGTACAACGCGCGTTGTGGATACCGGGATGTGGGTCTTGATTGTGAGTGAGGACAATCCAGTATTGCTTATAGGGCCTAGTTTGCTAGAGCCTATATACAATACAGAGATATAAACAATACAGCCGCCTCCATGTTGCAATAAGGCGGCCTCGGGGGATATCTTTGCTCGCTCTTACCTGCGTTCATGATACCGAACACGCCGATGTTGATGCGCGGCACACCTGCAGCAGTGGTGCTGGATATGCTGCCGCCAGCAGGAGAGCTGCTGCTGCTGCTGCTGCCAGGAGCTGGCGCCGCTGAAGCGGCGGCGCCGGTGGCGGCATTGGCGGCGACGCGGGCCGCACGACCCCGTCCTCCTGATACCGCCAAACCCGCGGGCGGCCGCAGCGGCGACGAAGGCACTAGAAGGGCCCTATGCTGCTGCTGCGCCGTACAGCCGTACACCCCCGAACGCGGGTACAGGCTAGAAGCCCGGACGCGGCCGGTTGCTACGGAGGGCTGCGGGGAGCTCCAGCTGGCTGACGTGGCGGCGGCTACAGCTTTAGAGCTGCTACTGCTACTGCTACTGCTGCTGGCGTTACTGGCAGCAGCAGCCACCGCATGGTCCTGGTCCTGGTCGTGGCGGTGATGGTCATGATCATGGTCATCATGGTCGTGGTCGTGGTCGTGATCGTGGGAGCGTTCTTGGCGGTTCTTGGCGGATTTCTTGCCCGTGTTGCCGTGGGGCCGCATGACCCGTGTGTCGTGATCCTCGGGTACCTCCACCAGCCGCCGCAGCGGCAGGGGCGACCGGGGGGTGGCGCCCTGACAGGGCGGTGATGACAATGGGGGATCGGCAGTTTCAGGGTTTTGTTCCGTTCTTAAGGGGGGGGGAAAGGAGTTTGCTTTGCGGTTTTAGGACTTTTTGAGGGTGCCTGATTCTTAGGTCGTTTTCTTGGGTTGGCCTGGTTTCAAAATATATGTTTGGGAAGAAAAGGTTGGAGGAAGTTTTTACATACCGGTCGAGGGTGCTTTTATAAACCGACGGGGTAAGAGGCGATAAAAGGCGACGACGGAAACGCATGCGGTTATCAACAGACGGACGGCGTCTCCCAGGACGACGAGTCCCAGCAGTGTACAACAGTACTGTACAACAGTATTGTACAACATTCGCTTCGTGATGCCCGCGCATCCCCGTGACGCCTCGGAATGCACCGCACAGAGGCCCCACACACCGGCCGCCACAGCCACCCCCCCCCAACACACACAGCCATATACTCACTTGCTCTATGTCATCCGCCTCCGCAGCCGCCGCCAGCACAGGGCTGCTATTGTCGTGCGGCACTCGCACCCCCGTGATCTGGTGCAGGTAGCTGGCGGGGTCACCCCACACACCCGCGGCGGAGGCCTTGCCCACACTCGCCAGCCGCATGTCTAAGCAGCGACGGCATTGTACGGCAGTGTCCGTGATGCACGGCTTGCCCTCGTACAGTTGGTAATCCTCCCGGTACCTACCGGAGGGTGTGGGGGGGTAGGGAAGGGTGGCGGCATGGATTAATTACATACATACACACATACATAGACACACAAGAGTTCCTGCCCGGGCTCAGATCATCAAATCACACGTACATACATACATACACACAAACAACCCCTACCACTTACTTTGTCGGTGTGAGGATGGGCATAACCACATTGGCTCCCCGTTCCAGTGCGATCTCACGACCCGTGGGGATGATGGCCTGAGAGGGGAAGGGGGGGAGAGGGGGAAAAACGGGTTTCGGAGCGCGTCTTAGCTTTTCTTAAAGGGTCATAGGACACCCACACGGTGCCTTACACTGACATTCACGTACCTGCCGTACGATACTTTTTTCTGGCCATACTGTACTGCAAAGTAACAGGATCTAAGGAAGGTGAGTGACGGAGGTGTACGACGCTCGCTTCTGCTTTCTCTCGAAGTACTTACCGAAAATACGAATGCATGTCTGTGTGTTTCGTGTATTGACACATTCCCCCCTCCACTCGGCCACATGTTCCCCCACCTCCCACCCCCACGCACACACGAATAACATAACGCCGCACACAAACACAATCTCCCTCCCTTTCCCTCTCCCGCTTCCTCTCCATTTGCACTCCGAAGGGCCCCCCGACCTTCCGTACACTCTTCTCAGCCTTCCCTCCCAGCAACCCCCCAACATGCTCTCCCACACCTGCATGGCTGTGGTGGCGGAGATGTTGACGTTACCAAGGGTGATTCGAACCTGCGCCACACCAGACCAGACCAGGCCGGGCAGGGAAAGGAGGGGAAAAGGAATTGCAAGCCAAGTCAGCGAAACCTTGCCAAGTCCTGGAAAGTAACAGTCGACATGGAGGGGCGCCCTTCTTGAGGAGGGCAACGAGGGCGGCCGGACGGATGTATGTACGTATGTATGTATGTATGTATGTATTTTACAACTCTAGTAATGTACAGAGTTGCGTTGCCTTCCCAAACTGGATCTACTAACGACGGGCCACCCGAGGACATTCCCCCCCCAGCCCCCCCCCCAGCTCTCCCCCCTCCCCCCCAGGCCCCCAGGCCCCAGGCCCCAGGCCCCCAGCCGCACCAGCGCATTCATGGCCGTGGTGAGCTCAAACATGGACTTCATGTGCGCGTTCTTATCCACTTGCGGATACAGCTCCGTCCAGCTGCGAGTGGCGGGAGTGCCGTCCTGCGTGATGAAGGGACCCATGCCTGCAGGAGATGAATCCAGGGATGGGGGTTTGGGGGAACGATTCCGCTGGGTTGTGGGTGGGCGGGGTTGAGGATAGGGTGAGGTTGAGGAGGTGTGGATGGAATGAGGGTGCAAGGTGAGAGAGGAAATAAGAAAGGGAACCACTCCTCCCCCCCCTCCTCCCCCTCCTTCTCCCCTTCCCCCCTCTCCTCCCCCTCCTCTCCCTCTCCCCCTCCAACAGCTCACCAATCATGTCCGCCCGCTCTTCCTTGAAGAACACCACATCGCCCGCCAGGTCCCTCAGAGTCTGCCCCGGCAGACCCACCATCACTCCGGTGCCCAACATGTAGCCGATGCGCTTCAGCGCCCGCAAACACTCCACTCGGTGCTGCCAGCTCAAGGGCGGCGGATGCAGGGCGGCGTACAGGTCCGGGTTGGAGGTCTCGATGCGGATAAGGTAGCGGCGGGCACCGGCCCTGCATGATTGATTGATTGATTGATTGATTGATTGTTACAGGGTGGGAGGCCTCTGGGCCGATTGCCCTGTATGTATTTATATCTGTCTGTCTGTCTATCTGTCTGTATGTGTGTATGTGCGTGCATGTATGTGCGTGCATGGTGTATCTGCGCGTGAGTGCGTGTGCTCGTGGGGGTCAAGGGGGCAGGGAAGGGGCTCACGGGTTGGGAGAGGGGTGCATGCTTGCCGTCTAGAAGGCGGGGGGGAATCCCTAGGCTCTGTGCGTGCGTGCGGAGTTGGGGCTATGGACCGGGATGGGTAGGGGTGGGTAGGGGTGGGTAGGGGTGGGTAGGGGTGGGTAGGGGTGAAGGGATAATTTATGCAAGAAGGGAAGCATGTCGAGGGGTGGGGTGGGGTGGGGTGTGGGGTGTGGGGTGGGGTGTGGGGTGGGGTGGGAGCCATAGGATAACAAAAACCCTCCAAACCCCCAAAAGTTGGTGACACAGGTTCCTGCGAGAGCCAGTCACCCAGTACGACAGCGCACTCGCCACCCAACAGCAACCACCTCACTTGAAAAGCCGCTCGTAATGCTCATACGGCAGCTCCCCAACCGACAACGACACCGCAACACCTAGCTCGTCCTCCGCCTCAGGATTCGTTGTGGCGGCACCGGTACTGCCGTTAGGGGTGCCGTTGGCGGTTGCGGTGCCGTTAGTGCGTGGCGTCGCGAAGCTTCCCTCACCGCCCGCCGCCACCGCCCGCCTCGCTAGATCCAGTTCCACCGTTTCTTTGCGGATCGCTCGTACGACATGTTCCAGATATTCAAGTCGTTTTTCCGTATGTAGCTCACCGCTCTGCGTCAATAGTGAAGTGCGGGTGGGGTGGATTGGGGTGGCGTGGGCGGGGGGTGGGGGGAAAGACGAACCACGAGCGAGAGAAGCTGATGCCAAGGAAACCACGGGTTGGGGGTAAACGGGAGAGGGAGGGGTGGTGGTGGTGGTGGTAGGGGGGCCAGCTGTATCTTTAGAGGAGGAAAAGAAGTACGGCGCTGCGGCAGATGGCGCACACAACTGCGCCATCAACTTAATACCCAAGAAGGGGGAAGAAAGTACTAGCATGGAAATGAGGACATACATACATACATACATACATACATACGCACCTGCAACATGACGTTTCGGATGCCGTTCTCCAGAGCCCACTTGGCCACCTCAACCACCTCCTCCTCGGGCATGGTGTACCTGGGCACGTGTACATACGGAAAATTGAAATATGCGGACACGTACATACATACGTACATACGCACATACCTGTATACGTCCTTCTGGTTGTTGCGTATACCGCAGTAGCTGCGGGCAGAGGGGAACAGACACGTGTGACCACGGCATGGCAACAGCAGCAGTGGCATTGGCAGTAGCAGTAGTAGTGACAGTAGCAGCAGTAGTAACAACAGTGCAGCAGTAGTAGGAGCAGAAGTGGTAGTAGTAGTAATAGCAGCAGTAGTAGCATCAGAAACAAGACACATTGGAAACTTACTTAGATTTGAACTCCTGAACCCCAATCTAGCCTTTCTCCCTCCCTCCCTCCCTCCCTCCCACTTCCATAACCCAAATCCATCCGTACATCCGTGTACCCCCTCCCCCCCAGCTCGACCGTGTGCGCACATCCAAGCGCGTGTGTTTTAACCCCGCCATCACACTCCGGCCAGGCCTCGCCTCTCGTCCCACGCTGAAAGCCACCCTCGCGCCTCGCGCCGCCAGCGAGCATGTGCGTCTGACAACCCCCCTCTCCCCAACTCCCCCTATGAGGGGGACCCCCCTTGGGGGCCCTATTTTCACAGTGTATACACACCTACTCTACATGCCGGCCGTCCCGCACCTGCAGTCGTTTTGACAGATGTTGGAAAATTCCACGAGGCCTCGGTAGTATACACCGCCACCGCAGTGCCTGATATGGTGAAGATGTGACGGCAGGAGGGGGCAAGGAGAAGGAAAAGGAAGGGCATGATATCGCGCGCATATATGACGACGATGGTGGTGGCCATGGTGATGATGGTGATGGTGATGATGGTGGTGGCCATGGTGATGATGGTGATGGTGGTGATGATGATGATGATGCTGATGATGATGCTGATGATGATGATGATGATGATGATGATGTGATGATGCTGATGATGGTGATGGCGATGATGCTGATGATGGTGATGGCGATGATGATGTGATGATGATGGTGATGGTGGTGATGATGATGATGATGTGATGCTGATGATGGTGATGGCGATGATGATGATGATGATGATGATGATGGCGATGATGATGCGAGGAAAAGGAACGTGGTTTCGAGGCTTTCAGTTGTTTGGTATAATCCTAGGTTCTTGAATGGACCCTTACTTTGCTGTTACTGCCGCCGCGTGGCCGTACAGGGCTTTCTCCAAGGTTGCGTCTCCGCGGCGCCACACCGCCTCAAGCACACCCAGCACCTTGCATCATTTGTGGTGGTGGAGTGGGTTGGTTTGAGCGAGTGCGGGGGAAGGGAGAAATGGTCGGTGGTCATATGGGTTATTGAAGAGCGTGCCAGGAAAAGACACGGAGGGCGCAGGTGAGTGGGGGATGTGTCAATGGAGAGACACCCAAATGGAAAACACGCCGGCGACGTGACCATACACACTTATGGAGTGGAGTGTGTGTGGGGGGGGAAGGGGGAAGAAGAACCACGAACGAGTGAAGCTGATGCCAAGGATAGACTGACACGCCAGAGGTAAAGTAAGCAGTAACTAACCAGTGCGTGGCGAAGGGGGGGAGAAGAAGATAGGGTTTGCGTACGTGCGTGTGTGCGTAGATGTGTGTCTAAGGGATGGTGGGGATCATATATGCAAGAAGCAAGGAGCCAACTACGGCTACGTCTGAAGGGATAGGATAGGGTGCAACTGGAGCGGTGGCAATCCTCCTAAGAGGAGCTGGTTCTTGTTAGATACAGATCCGGGTCAAGCGGAAAGATGATGATTGGTTTACATACGGAGAGGGCGAGGATGGCGAGGGATAGATGTTTGCATCAATTCCGTCCGGGGTTTGAAATATAAATCTATCCGCAGGAATAACAGGTAAGGCATGTTATTTTGTTACTGGTAGGGAGGTTTAATTAGTTGGCAGGGGGAATGCATCTCGCACCTGGTCGCGGTCAAGGTCTACAGTCGCTGCGGGGGCAAGGCCTCCAGGGCCAAGCCCTAGAAAGCGGCCCAGCACAGCTGCGCTCTCCTCCGCGTCAGCCTGAGCCTTTGCTTTCCTCTTAGCAGCTGCTATAGCAGCTCGTGCATGAGCTGGTGGTAGCTGGTCTGGAGGCACATCTGCCGCGACGGAATGTGCCGAAACGCGGACGGCGTCCCTCCGAGCCACGGTGCGTTGTGAAGCAATTGACAGCTTACGGGACAAGAAGCCTTTGGGAATACCTTGCGGCATTTGTATGACCTTGGAAGAGGCCGCCTGGCGCGGCAATTCCCCGACACTAGCCATGAAGGATGTTGAAAGTGCTAAAAGACTGCTAATGGAAGCCACCTGCACTCCAAATATCAGAGTAAATTCAAACAATTACATCAGTTTTGACAAAGATGCGAATTTCGTCTTATTCATCTTCCATGCCGTAATTGGGTACATACTTCGTAATGCGTACCGGAACGACCCAGTTGGGGAAACCCTATGATTATAAGAATCCGGTCCCTAACGATGGAAACTCGACATACAATTATCCTTCGCAAATATTCACATTAAGGATAACCGAAGCTAATTTGCAAGACAACGTAATTGAGTGACACCTCAGCGACAACTGCAGAAGCCCAGGCTACACAATACAATTACAGCAACTGTTGTCATATTAGTACATAACCATGCAGTCAGCGCTTTGCCACACCGGGGGCCGCGTTTTGCGCCCCATCGACCGGAGCTCCAGGGCTTCCGGAAGCGCACCTCTACCTGTGGTGCGGCGCGCGAGCACGGTTGCACGTTATTTGCCCTCAAGCAAAATTCAGCACGCATGGAGCGTTGAACGCGAGACTCACCACACGTGAGTTGTTCGCCTGTCGGGAATTGCAACTTCGAAACCTCCTAGAATGATTGAAAATGTTTCCAAGAGTTCTAAGTCGTTTCAACTGTCTGTGTGACCGCAGATATGTGGACCCGGCCGAGTGGATTGATGAGGCCGCTATCTTCAAAGCCCTCGAGTTGACAAAGGAGCACGCCAAGGACCCGGCACGGGTATGGAAGGCCAGAAACCTTGCAGACTACTCTTCGTCCGTCACTTTTGTGTTCTGTATGTCCATAACGGCTGGGAAATGATCGATGGTTCTGTGTTGTGAAGAACAGCCTGTTCGTCTTTAATGCACGGAGGGTGTAAGGTTGAAGGCAACAGCTTCGGCAAATTAATTCTTCATCCACGCACCGTTTGACTTTTAGGTTCGCGACATCCTCGCCAAGGCCAAGGAGAAGGCCTTTGTCACGGAGCATGACCCCGTCAACGTTGGCTCCAAGTCAGAGTTTGTACAGGTGGGAGTTATAACTGCACAGTTTAGAAGGATTATGGGCCCCATCGATGCTGGAAGTGCAAATCGGTGATCACATTAACTGCCTCACCTGTTATCTAAAGCATGGCTTGGCGCTGCCTTCCCTACCTGTAAGCCTGCCGTGGGTATGATGAGCAGTTAATGTGCTTTCTTTTTCACGGACATGCCTTCCATTCATAGATTACCCCTTGCTCTTTACACTGTAACCTCCTCACGCAGGGTTTAAGCCTGGAGGAGTGCGCCACACTCCTGAATGTGGACGAGAACAATGTGGAACTGGTGGGACGGGGACTAGGGGTCCTGTAGTTCGTGGCTGCGGTCGTAGCGCTGGAACGGGTCGACTACACTACGGATCATGGAAAAGCATCACTGCTGCTTGCGACTGTTACTGCTGCGCAATGGTTCCTTATGTCCCGACATCCCTCCTTCCCTCCCTGGGCGTGCTCCTACAGATGAATGACATCTTCGACACGGCTCTGGCCATCAAGAACCGCATTTACGGAAACCGAGTTGTGCTGTTCGCGCCGTTATACATTGGTGGGTCGGATGAGCTTGTGGAGTGGGGTTTCGTGCATAAAAGTGAACTGTTTAGGTTACAAATGTAAATCTCACTTTTTGGTGACCCTGACATCCGCTCCCTATCGTTGATGCCATTCGCAGCCAACCATTGCATGAACACATGCACGTACTGCGCCTTCCGGGCCGGGAACACGGGCATGGAGGTGAGCGTGTGTGCGTGTGTGTGTGTGACTTAAGGTGTTTCGAAAACTCCTCGCAACTTTAACAGTGACGCGGCGATAAAGGTGTTCATCCTGCCTTGCTTGATTCCTCTTCATCTACCGCCCACTTGCCGGCCCCACCACAGCGCTCCGTGTTAACCGATGACGACCTGCGTGAAGAGGTGGCGGCGCTGCAGCAGCAGGGCCACCGCCGCATCCTGGCGCTCACGGGAGAGAGCCCCAAGTACTCGTTTGAGAACTTTCTTCACGTAAGAAGAGGGATGCAGAGGGATGCAGTGAAGTAATGGATTCGTGACATGCAAGCACCATTGAGAAGTTCTAATGTGTTCGTTAGTTCTCTGTCTTGCCTTCTCCCTCGAAGCGGCATTTATATAATACGTTTTTTGTCCGTCTGCCCTCTGTTCTCGCATTTCCTCGTCTAGGCGGTTGACGTGATCGGCTCCGTCCACACGGAGCCCTTTGGCAGCATCCGCCGCATCAATGTGGAGATTCCGCCGCTGAGCGTGTCGGACATGCGGCGCCTCAAGGAGACTGATAAGGTGCGAGGGAGAAGGGAATAAAGGTTGTGTGGGGCTCTTGAAGGTTCGGGATCTGGGTCGGGCGTTTTCGGGATCTGGGTCGGGCGTTTTCGGGATCTGGGTCGGGCGCTTTCGGGTTCTGGATCGGGCGCTTTCGGGTTCTGGATCGGGCGCTTTCGGGATCTGGGTCGGGCGCTTTCGGGATCTGGGTCGGGCGCTTTCGGGATCTGGGTCGGGCGGTTTCGGGATCTGGGTCGGGCGGTTTCGGGATCTGGGTCGGGCGGTTTCGGGATCTGGGTCGGGCGGTTTCGGGATCTGGGTCGGGCGGTTTCGGGATCTGGGTCGGGCGGTTTCGGGATCTGGGTCGGGCGCTTTCGGGTTCTGGATCGGGCGCTTTCGGGTTCTGGATCGGGCGCTTTCGGGATCTGGGTCGGGCGCTTTCGGGTTCTGGGTCGGGCGGTTTCGGGATCTGGGTCGGGCGGTTTCGGGATCTGGGTCGGGCGCTTTCGGGTTCTGGATCGGGCGCTTTCGGGATCTGGGTCGGGATGGGGCATGTTTGGATGGATGCATGACTTGTTCAATGGGCTTGTACCTGCAGGTCGGCACGTTCGTGCTGTTCCAGGAGACGTACCATCGGGAGACGTTCAAGAAGATGCATCCCTCGGGTCCCAAGAGCGACTTCGACTACCGAGTCCTGACGCAGGACCGTGCCATGCGAGCGGGTTTGGATGATGTGGGCATTGGCGCGCTGTTCGGCCTGTTCGACTACCGCTACGAGGTGTGCGCCATGCTAATGCACTCGGAGCACCTCGAGCGCCACTACAACGCCGGGCCACACACCATCAGTGTGCCGCGCATGCGTCCTGCGGACGGCTCCGAGCTGTCCATTTCACCCCCTTACCCGGTGGACGATGCGACGTTCAAGAAGCTGGTTGCGGTCATCCGTATCGCGGTGGGTAGTGCTTTAACAGGCTGACACGGGCTGACACCATGTTTGACACCATGTTTGACCAGCTGACACCGTGTTTTTCGTATGTCATTATCCTGAGATTTCCTCCCGTTTCCGTACAGGTGCCGTACACGGGAATGATCCTGTCCACCCGCGAGTCGCCCGAAATGTGAGTTCCATCGGGCTGATTTAGGGGGAAGTGTGGTTGATGCGATAGCTGGAATTCTCGGAGCAACAGGCCGTTGGTAGGTTAGTCTCACTGACCTGACAACAACAGTTGAGTCTACTCCTCACAAGTCTTTGCTGCGCGTTTTGTACACAGAAGCCGCTGTTCCTAACATCTGCTGCTGTTCCTTGGTCTGCTGCTTTATTTCATCAAGCCTTACTCCGGTTGTCCCTGATTCCTGCCTGTCCTTCCCTGGCATTTCATCCGCCCTGTGCTTGGCTTCTCGCCGTTGTTCCCCTCAGGCGCTCCTTGCTGCTCAAGTGTGGCATGAGCCAGATGAGCGCCGGCAGCCGCACCGATGTGGGCGCCTACCACAAGGACCACACGGCCAACACCGAGGCCAACCTTGGCAAACTGGCCGGCCAGTTTTCGCTGATGGATCACCGGCCCACCAACGAGATCGTGGACTGGCTCATGGCCGAGGGCTACGTGCCGTCCTGGTGCACGGCGTGCTACCGGCAGGGCCGCACGGGCGAGGACTTCATGAAGATCTGCAAGGCCGGTGACATCCACGACTTCTGCCACCCCAACTCGCTGCTCACACTGCAGGAGTATCTGCAGGACTACGCCGACCCCGACCTGCGGCGTAAGGGCGAGGAGGTGATTGCCCGCGAGATGGGCGAGCACGCCAGCGAGCCGCTCAGCGGGCAGGCTCTCAGACGCCTGGAGCGCAAGATGAAGCTGGTCAAGGAGGGGCAGCATGACGTGTACCTGTGATGATGGGGGAAGCGGACGATGGAAGACGGGGGATTAGGGCGGAGATCGGTTTGACCAGAGAGTGACTTTGGAGTGAGGTGAGGTCTACTGCCGGCCTGCAGTTTTGGCTTTTGGGTCGCAACCACCGGAGTTATGGATTGGTGTGGGGAGTGAGCTTTTCTGGTCCGGCGTGGCGGAGTCTTTTCCATGCTTATCCGCAAAGATCTTTTGAGATTCTAGTTTGGTAGAATTCTTTATAATTTGTTTGGTAAATGCGTGGGTAATGCCACAAGCATTGCATGTGTTCATGCTTGACAAGGAATAATGAATCTCGCTGCTGTGTGCACGCGATGCGGAGCAATGAAGGAAAAATGACACTTGTTAGGGATGTGGAGGAGCTGGCTCTCTGTTTTTATTTTTTGGGGCATGTTTTCAGCTGAAAGCTGCTCAACCCCAAATGGTTGTTTGGGGCTGAGGAATTGCTCTGCTTAGAAGAGCGTGCATCTGAACATTGTACGGTACGGGAATCGGTGATGAAATTGCCTGAAGATGCACGAATGAAGGATTACCAGGTATTGACCTGAGGAATATGTGGCCCAGTTGTTCAGGCGCCTTAAATCTCATCTTTAATGTAATCCAGAAAGCTGTAAGAAAAAGGGTTCCTATTCAAGCTGCCGCGTGCCTATTCAAATGTATATGAGTCTTACCTTCCGTCTGGTGGCCTACGAGCTTAAGCATGTGATATAATGTATTGGCCATAGCAGACCCGACGCGACATGCTGTAGCTGTAAGGACGCCGCACGCTATCATCCTGCTGTGAAAGCAACCGCATTACGCAGGGCACTCACATAAATTGGTGCGGCTTTAAAGCCGCACAAAATTTTTTGTTAGGTGAGTCGAAACTGGTGTTGCAGCTGCCCGTGGAAGACCTGGCCCAGAACTGCACTTTTCAGACTGGATGCAGGCCGCCCACATGAACATAGCAGACCCAGACTGCGCTTGCTTCGTAACAAAGAAATCCACGTCTTAGGAGTTTATTTAGAGAACTTTGCGGCCTGACTGAAAAACTGAAACCACGGTCGACACCTTTCCGGGCCAGAAACCTACGGAATGAAATCCTTTTGGAATGGACACCACAGACGAATTCCTTCCCTAAGTTTCCTTTATGGTGTCGCGGTTGCTTACCTTCTCACGTGTGCCTGCAGTAGTGGTTATCGTCCTGTGCTTATTTTGGCTGCGTTGCTCTGAGTACTGTATCGCTTGATGAACAGCTTGCCAGATGCCGCTTCCATCAACTTTTACATCTGTCGCATAGAGACGACTTTGGAACTGCAAGTCGGTTGCCACCACAGGCGCGTGACAAATGCGGATTAACTTGGAAATAGCATGTCTAACGTAATTGGATTACCTTCTTCTGCGGCCTCCCGTCACATGTCAGGGAGATGTTGCGCCGAAACCCTTTTCGGCGGAACACCATTGTCCTCTGTACCTCGGGATGTACAGCAAATTCATCATCATGACGGTACGGCTTCTTTAATGCGGGCTATGCGAAGCTTGAGCCGGGTTAGCTAAGGCGTAGGGCCTTACGGCCGTTTTAAGTGGTACGACTTGAGGCCGGCGATCCGTGTCCTCAGGATCGTCTTTTGCATAAATAGCGCGTGTTGCAGGTTTTCTGTATCTTGTTTTTGTTGTTCAGCACGCGCTGAACAACGAGGCAGGTCCCGCGCCTTCGGCGCGCTTTCTGTTTTTTCCGCTGTGCTTTCAGCTCTTCAGCAAGACCCATCGGGTAGAGTGCCCTGATTGAAGGAGCACCATTATCGCTCCGTCGTCATCGTCTTGAAGATCATGGCAACCGTAGCAGTATCCGTCCAAGCCGTTTTAGCGGTTTTTGTCGTTTTCTGCGGCGTTGCTGGCGCCATGATGCCGGGCCAATATGGTTCCCAGCCCCCTTCCCCATATATGCAAGGTCTGCTGGGTGGCGGCGCTACGCCGCTAGGAGGCGGAATGGCGCCCAGCGCGGTACCGAGAGCGGCAACTATGTCTGGTGCGGCGGTTGCTGGGCCGGACATCGCTGCAATGTTACTCCAGATGCAACAAGACCTGGCCGGGGTCCGCGCGCGCCTAAATAGTCAAGGTGCGACCTCGGG